CTCTCTCTCTCTCTCTCTCTCTCTCTCTCTCTCTCTCTCTCTCTCTCTCTCTCTCTCTCTCTCTCTCTCTCTCTCTCTCCATTTCATGGCAAATAATGTATAAATATAAACATTACTAACTTACGCATTTAAAAGATATGTCTGTATCACCGTCCGATATATTTAAAAATCTAACTAGCTATTTTTTAATTTGTTCTAAAAGTATATAGAATAGAAATGTGATGACCAATAAAGCTATAGACCATTGGTGGGAGAAGAAATATGAGAAAATGCAGTGTAGACAGGTTGACTGCACTATCGAAGGTTGGGGCCCAGAGTACTCTTGCCCCCGTGCATACCTTCAAAACTTCATGCTACTTTTTTATCTGTGTCCTCCTCCTCTTCCTCTTCTATTTCATTTTTCCTCTCCTCTTCCTGCTGTTGTTCTTTTTTCTTGAGCTTTACCATCTCTAATCCTATTCCCTTCATCCTGCTAGTTGAAACTATTGCTGCCTCCTTTAATGTTCCTGAGGAGGGATAGCACTCCCTGTAGCCCTCACGCAAGTTCCATCTCCTGCAGGCGACGAGGAACAAGAATGCGGTGTTACAGTTGCCACTATCCTATATACAGTGCAAGAAGGGTAAAAAGGCTGTAGTGGTGAATAATTAGTGTGTGGATTACGTAGTGGAGACCGAGTGTGTGTATAACAATATCAGGTCACTTTCCCCCATGCACTCCTTTGCCTGCTCCTGACTACGAAGAGGATTTCCAAGCAGATAAAAAATCCCAAGTGACTTTTATGCCAGCCTACTCAACATCGATGTATATTCCGATCTCTACAAAGTTGGTGATAGAGCTTTGACACCAGGATTATCACATCAACTTCGGTGTTATTTGTAACACCTGTCATTCTTGTTACAGACAACAGAGAAATACCCCCTTTACTAACTAGAAGAAAGGCCACAGCCGTCGTAAAATGTTTGATCAGAAGTCAGATGTCATGTAAAAAGTAGCAGCAATGAGACTATCAGCTCTTCATTTCATGGTACTGATACTTCACCTTCATCAGCAGCCAGGACTCCATTGGCCATAAGACATGCTCCTGGTGTCTTCATGAAGAATATGCTGCAAGATATCTATTATTAATCTTATTTAATCCAATGTCAGCGGGTTTATGTACTGTTCCCCTTAGATTTTGTGAGTTTTGTTAATACTGATGGCTCCATGTGTGCTTAGCCAGCAAGGAGTGTATCAATTGGCCCTAGTGACCAATCAGTTGGCCCTAGTGACCTAAATGTGTTTTATTAATATTGACATTGTTATCATTCTTATTGATATTTATTATTTTATTAGACTGTTATTAAATTATTTTATAACATCAAAGACTATAAAACAATAGAAATGAAGCTTTCAAAAAATGAAGGAAAAGGGTAAACAGATGAGATAGGTAAGACTAATAGGTGACTCCTAGGTGACTAAGCACTTGTAGAACCATATATGTGTAAAACCAATAGATAAACCTTTATTACTGTGGGCATGACATTGCAGTCTTGCCACCAGCTGACATTAGGTTAAAAGTGCAAAATTAATGACATGCTTTAATTCAGTTAACCGTTAACCTCCACACAAGATGTAAGCATGTAAAAGCAAAAACATTATTGCTTGCTCTTTCCAACTATGCTGGTTTCATAAGCAGACACAAAAGGAGTATTACTCCCTGAAAATGAAGCAAGTAGCAAGATAATGCTGATGATTTCTGTTTCTTTATGACTTACTTAATTTTCTATATTTTTGTGTTACTCAGAGAGTTAATAATTTCAGTACTGTAATTATCACCAAAAATATATGATTTAATGAAGATTAACCCATTCGCAATGGGTGAAAATGAACAAAAAATGGGGAAAATGCTGGGCTCATTTTTTAGTGAAATGTCTCTACACATAGATGGCACTGCCTTACCTGATATCATTTGGCGGAAAAATGTATTTTTTACTAGTGCTATGAATATCGATGGTTATTTTAATTATGAACATTATAATTACTATAATGTGATAAACATAAATAACAGCAAAATAAGATAACATAAAATATTTTTGTAAATGAAAGAAAAGGGTAAACGGGCGAGAGGCAGTACTCGTAACAAGTGTAGCCATCGATGTGTAAAAACAATTAAACAAGTAAACTCACAGTGGGCATCTTCCCTTGTCAAATTGTTCATCCTCATTCACACCTACTTTCTTTCTCTACAGCAGTTCACTGGAATGCTTTTTCTTCCATTGTGACAAACATAATAGAGCATTTTGTTATTTAGACAAAATGACTTGCCTACATCTACTTGGAAAGTTAACAGACTAAAATACTGTTCGGATAAATTTGCTAGAACTTTGAAGACTTTACTGTATGTATATATATTACATATATAAATGTAAAGTATACAAATATAAATATAAATACATACATGTACAGTCCCATTCGCTTTCAAGTTCATCAATGTGTGAAATGTTACTCTTGACCTTTGTATCTGCAACACATACTCCTTACATTAATTGGCTAGTGTTTCAGATATGTGTTAAGGATAGTGGCTCACACACTGGGAATAGATTATCGCGAACACTGACAAAACCATATTAAAGATATGCACATGTATGCATACATATACTTGTTTTAATATCTGTATTGGTAGTGTGTATATATATATATATTTTTTTTTTACTTTATCCTTTTAAAGTGTTATCAGCCCCAGCAGCATGGCTTTGAAATATTCTTTACCTTTTTCTTCTCATATTCATATCTGTAGACATAATCTTCAGTGACTGATGTAATAATCATACATGAAATTCAAACTATGATTTCCTGTTTTCCTTTACTTAAAAAAATACAATGTTGCACACATTATTCAACATGATTCGAATCTCCATATTCATACTGATATTTCAACAGTCTCCTTAAATCCAACAAGAATATCCATCCTTTTCCAGATCTTACAAAATATTATTTGATAAAATACAAAGTTCATATTCCGTAATTTCAACTCAACCCTAACATGCATCACAAAATAGAGATTCAGGAGTCTTATCCATGACATATAAAATCAAAATGAATTTCAAGTGACCACAAAAAGCAATCATTTTAACTCCTAGACATCAAGGTTCATGTAACATAACTCTTTTTTCTCTGCAGCTAAGGTATGTCTATGGATATAAGAAGGGACAGACACCAGGTCATGTATAAAAGGTATGTTAATAATTTGTGGGCATGGCTGAATTAACAGTATTGCCAAACTAAAGGATATAGTGTATTAGGACTTCTCACAGGGAAAAGGCAGGCACAGAGAACACTGGGGGTAGGCAAGAGGATAGGGATAATAGGTGGAGGAGGAGGGGACAGGTTCGTAGGATGTGGACATTGTGAACAAAGCCCGCCTTCTGTCTACCATAGCCAAAGACGCGCCCCAGATCCAATGGGTTGTGCTGGGATTAGCCTTGTGTCTTCCGTCAGGTGCAAAAACTCACACCTCGATTTTCCCTTCTTTATATAAGAAATTTACTGGCTTTGAAAGTCACAACTAAAAAAAAAAGAAAAGAAAAAGAAAAAAAACAGAAAACAAGAACTTAACATGCAAAATCCAAATACACTTATTTATTTGATATTAGATATCTTAAAAAATACACTTCACTTGAATGCCACAAAGCTAAAAAGAAACATTATCATACCAAAACATCCTGAACATTCTCGTACACTATAAATAATACATAATATTCACATTCAGTCAACATCATATTACTAAATCACATTTCAAAGAAGAGTAAAGCAACATCCACAATAAACTCACAAAGTAAAAGATTATCCTGCATGATGAATTTGCAGTGAAAACATTCTCAACAGTTTAAGCAGACACACTGGTTACCAAGACACAATCTTACTTTAGTCATGTGACAATATAGCACCTTCAATATTAAACAAAAAACATGGGGTAAAGGTAAAATGGAGATTATTACACAACACATTCGTTTCATAAAACCTGTGAACTAAATTTGTTCTCATTACATTTAATGTCCATGAGTTTGTGTAATATACGCAGGATACAAATACTTCATATTGCTTTCCAAATACATAAAATGTCTGATATACGAAATACTACCAAAGTAAGCACTGGGACTCTATCTGCTCAGATATATATAAAAAAGAAGAAGAAAACGAACGTATAAAACATCATGAAAAGTCAAAAGGGTTAATATTAAAGTTCTTATTCAATCATAAGCTACCTAGAGGCAATTTTCCTAACCTTCTTAATCTCTCGATATGCAGGTCGTGCAAGAGTTTATTGAAGCTAAAATATTGATTGTTTTCGGTAGGATTCATATTGGGGTAGGCTATACTAAGAGACTCCGGCATATCTCTGTTTAATATTTCCGTCGCCAACCTGTCTATTTCGTGCACATCTCCAACGTCTTGTCCCGCACCGTTCATCCCTGAGTTCAGCACGCCGTTTGTCAAACCATTATGTAAAGGGACATTTGGTAGGTTTGTTGGTCTCCCTGAGTCACATGGTTGTGCAGGCAGGTTGTGTGAGGTAGTGGGTACGACAAGGCTGGGTGGCGTCGCTGTTAGCAGGCCAGATGAGTTGTCCAAGTGCAGGTTGTTGATGCGTTTGGAGAGAGGCTCCTCCTCTGGGATTTGATTTCGGACTCTCTTCATTGCAGAGCACACTGCTGGCTATCTGAAACGAGTTGGCATTATTATTATCTCTTAGATTTTTTAAAAAGTGTGTATATTTTGGATATGAAAATAGATGAAATGTCTAATATCAGTTAAGTATACTTATAATATCATCTTGTTGGATAAAATTTCTAATATCATTCAAACAGAACAATAATATATCTTTGTTAATAATCCCTTTCCTGTCTAGTTATCTGTTTGAATCTAAATACAAAAAAATTCAAAACATACTTCTGGCTATCTTCTTATCCTAGACTAAACACAGTAAAAAAAAAAAAGAAAAGAAAAAGAAAAAAAACAGAAAACAAGAACTTAACATGCAAAATCCAAATACACTTATTTATTTGATATTAGATATCTTAAAAAATACACTTCACTTGAATGCCACAAAGCTAAAAAGAAACATTATCATACCAAAACATCCTGAACATTCTCGTACACTATAAATAATACATAATATTCACATTCAGTCAACATCATATTACTAAATCACATTTCAAAGAAGAGTAAAGCAACATCCACAATAAACTCACAAAGTAAAAGATTATCCTGCATGATGAATTTGCAGTGAAAACATTCTCAACAGTTTAAGCAGACACACTGGTTACCAAGACACAATCTTACTTTAGTCATGTGACAATATAGCACCTTCAATATTAAACAAAAAACATGGGGTAAAGGTAAAATGGAGATTATTACACAACACATTCGTTTCATAAAACCTGTGAACTAAATTTGTTCTCATTACATTTAATGTCCATGAGTTTGTGTAATATACGCAGGATACAAATACTTCATATTGCTTTCCAAATACATAAAATGTCTGATATACGAAATACTACCAAAGTAAGCACTGGGACTCTATCTGCTCAGATATATATAAAAAAGAAGAAGAAAACGAACGTATAAAACATCATGAAAAGTCAAAAGGGTTAATATTAAAGTTCTTATTCAATCATAAGCTACCTAGAGGCAATTTTCCTAACCTTCTTAATCTCTCGATATGCAGGTCGTGCAAGAGTTTATTGAAGCTAAAATATTGATTGTTTTCGGTAGGATTCATATTGGGGTAGGCTATACTAAGAGACTCCGGCATATCTCTGTTTAATATTTCCGTCGCCAACCTGTCTATTTCGTGCACATCTCCAACGTCTTGTCCCGCACCGTTCATCCCTGAGTTCAGCACGCCGTTTGTCAAACCATTATGTAAAGGGACATTTGGTAGGTTTGTTGGTCTCCCTGAGTCACATGGTTGTGCAGGCAGGTTGTGTGAGGTAGTGGGTACGACAAGGCTGGGTGGCGTCGCTGTTAGCAGGCCAGATGAGTTGTCCAAGTGCAGGTTGTTGATGCGTTTGGAGAGAGGCTCCTCCTCTGGGATTTGATTTCGGACTCTCTTCATTGCAGAGCACACTGCTGGCTATCTGAAACGAGTTGGCATTATTATTATCTCTTAGATTTTTTAAAAAGTGTGTATATTTTGGATATGAAAATAGATGAAATTTCTAATATCAGTTAAGTATACTTATAATATCATCTTGTTGGATAAAATGTCTAATATCATTCAAACAGAACAATAATATATCTTTGTTAATAATCCCTTTCCTGTCTAGTTATCTGTTTGAATCTAAATACAAAAAAATTCAAAACATACTTCTGGCTATCTTCTTATCCAAAGACTAAACACAGTAAAAAAAATATATAATGAAATGGAAAATGCCATTTTAGTTTTCAGACCATTTTTATATTCCAGAAACCTGATGTTGCACATTAGATTACACACTGACTGATGTTTCCATATACATGTCCTCTTTAACATGTGTGAAAGTATCCAGGGGCGGAACTACCACATATGACATTATTCTTTCGTAATCTCATTTAAACAGCCAGCACATCAGAAACTTTCTCCTAACAGAAAACATCCACCACAAACTTATAAGGCTTAACCCCTTTAGAACTCCCCTCTACCCCTACCCCTAACTTTTTCCTCTTCAGAACACCCACTTTCTCTATCCCTACCTCTTCTGTTTGTAGTAAGGATACAGAAGGCTGTAGAGTACCCTCTGGTAGCAAATAAAACATTTTGTCATGCAGGCTACTCAACTAAGAACACGAAACAAAATTTCATGTATGTCATTTGTGCATCAAAGGTCTACTGAGTCTTAAATAATGACACATTGAAAGACAAAAAAAAATGTGCCTAAAGTTTTGTGAGTAAATACTGTAACTTCTTGTACCTTTTTCTTTTAGTGCTTTATCATTAAAATCATATAAGTAAAAAATACTCCTTGGGGGCAAGTCTACTTTAATGGCTAGCGGTTGCATATTTTAACACAATGCCACCAGGGATCTCATTTACATATATATGCCATCCCCATTGTGAGTTTCATTTATTAATGGTCTTTACATGCAGATGAATCCACAAGTATAAAGTCACTAATGATCCAGTTACTAGTACTAAATATCTCATTTTTTTCCCTTTTCATTGATTTCTGGAAATATTTTCTTTTACTTATCTTGCTCATAAGTAATGTCAATAACATTATAATAATTATGAAGTCTATCATAATAACAACATCAATCCTGATAGCAATAGAAAGAAAAACCTGAAACTCAAAGAAAGGTGAAATTAGTTAGGTTTACATATACTAAATGACTCCTTGGTGGCTAAGCTCTTGTGGAGCCATTTTTGTGTAAAGACATTTCACAAAACAAAATAAAAGTGAACACTACATTTTCCCAGCAACATTGGGTTGATGGTTAATATATATTTTTTCCCCAGTATATTCAAACTCTCTTTAAAAGATATAATCAATCTAAAGGATATAATTGCATTCAAATTAACTATGCTCATTTTTTACACACACACACACACACACACACACACACACACACACACACACACACACACACACACACACACACACACACACACACACACACACACACACACACACACACACACACACACACACACACACACAAATTATTTCATATGTGCAATAAAACTATTTAATCATTGTGTTCCAAAGACAACCATGTAAATCTTTAAATATTTTTTGCTTTCTTTAAAATGTTAGTAAATTATTGTTCTGATACACTAACAGAATCTACAACCTTCCTCTAGGTTTGCAAAACTCCTAAGCACTAAAGGAGGTACATACTATATTTTGGTAGGCTCAGGTAAAGACAATGATAATATTGTACCTGAAGTCTATTCACTGTGCAAAAACAAAGGAGATTTTGATCTGTAATATATGGCTTAGTTTTAGTGCAAAATGAATCAAATAAACAGAATGTTTCACCAGCTGATGCATCAGTTCACTACATAAGCAACACTGAATTACAAAAGCAGTATGAAGTTACATTATACATACTAGGACGAGAGAAGGGAAAACATTCCTCTCCCTTAACCCATAAATTGTAACAGAAATCTTAAGAGCCACTTACATAGCATCTTATTCCAATAGCAATGAGTAATTTACTGATACACAAGCCTTCTCTCCTGGGTTGTGGCCCAGGCCTCACTGCCAGAGTTTTGTGTCGTCACCATAGCATGCGTGGCATGACCATACATGCCCCCAGTCAAAAGGATTGGCACACCATGGCACGTATGCACATAATAACCGGAATATAGTCTAGGCATGCCATGGCATGTACATACATGCCACCTAGTGGCTAAGGGTTAAGATGACAGATATTCTGAGCAACATTTCAAACATCAAGTAACAGGATTGAAGAGCTATGGAGATAAATGTGAGAAAAACAGATGGCAGGGCACCATGGAGAAATATTTGAAATGTCAATCTAATATATTGTTAGTCTAATATAAGCAGTTTCCTAGGGTGTCCCTGGCATTAGCCACTAGCAAACTCTCTCTGGATCTTACTCAACATGATTATATTACCAAAAAAGGATGTAATATGGATGAAGCAGAAGAAAGAGACAAAGGAATCTTGGAATCTTTGTGTGGGACAGTTAGATGTGACATTTGTTCTGTCTCATATGAATGAGAACTGCCTTTTCTTGGTATATACTTCCACCATGGGAGGTGCTGTTTATAGGTACATTTTACATCTATGTAATGGACAGTTTTTTACTTGGCCGATTTTTACTGCAGCAAGATCCTGATTTCATATAAAATATTCAGAAATAGATAATTTGCTAAATCATCAAAAGGCAATATACTTATCTGATAATTGTTATCATAATATATGTTCTTTATGGAGAGAAATATAACAAAAATACATAAGGGACCCTTTATATCAATACTTAATCATACACTTGAAGAACAAATGAGCTTAGTTCGATAACTCCCAAGGTCAAACCAGCCAAGGCTCACTAATTATTCTTAATCTGGGGTTCTGTTTGTCACAATCATCTTAAATACACTTTCAAAACTGTCATTCTTCTTCCTTTCTCACAGCCACTATATTGTTTCTCACTGACCTTTTACTATCTAAATATATTAATATATTTTGTATTGTACTAAGAAATTAGAAAATTGCACAGCATAACAAATGACAATTAAAAATTAATAGGTCGATTTATGTCACATCTTAAATACATAAAAAAACAGACGTGTTCATTTCTTCTGGTTTTATAGAACAGTTTCTTGAGAGCTCAACCTCACTAACACAACTGCCATAAAACAAAAGTTATTTAGTATATTTGATTTCTTTAATTTCATGTTGAAACAATGAAATCAATGACCAGTGATTTTACACATCATAAAATGTGAATTTTTTAACACATGAGCATCAGAAGCATAGTGCCTCACAATTTATTTGCATAGTTTTCTCTCCAAAAGTGCATTATCACCACTATGATTCAAACTTCATTTGACTTGTTGTTATGCTACAAAAGACTATGGTTTTATCACAGTTACCTATTCTGTTTTCAATTTCTTTCTCACAACTTAAGAAGATGAATTATTTGAATCCGTTTAGATAAAAGATAAATACTGCAATTCAAAGGTGATGCAACCTCAATCACATCTAAATAAATTTCATTCACAACATAGTATCAACATCCTACAGAGTACAAAGGTAAAATTACCATTTCCATCTCCAATAATGAGTAAACAATTAGATCACACGAAACAAGGAATCTATAAGAGCTTACTGTAAATCTTATACAATATTTTCCGCCACGACACAGGAAACAGGAATGAGGTTATCACGTAGTTCGCTGATTCTCACGTGTATATATCCTATTCATAAACCGCTCTGTGTATATAATTTAAATAATAAGGTAATAACAGACCGTACGCTAGATATGACACGTGAATTTCAAACCCTCAGTCATAGAATTTTACTTTAAAACGAAGATAAAAGCATTATTGATCATCTGAACTTTCCCTCGGCACGTATAGTAGCGATTCTCAAACGAATAAATTACAGGCTATGAAACGAACAGCAATTCACTCACGTCTCCATATACAACAGACAATCCTGAGATACGATGATTTCTACTCCTGTCAGACGTGACAAGGGATTTGACAGCACTCGTCAGGCAGGTTTTGTGCCCAACGCGTGAGGAGGGAAGGGCACAGCT